TGATGATACAAAAACAACACAAAATTATGAATAATTAATATGTTGCCTTCAGGCCCAGGACACTATTGCAAAAGAGATCTGAGATCTCAATGACAGACAGACAAACTGATGAACAGCCAATTCTGTCTCCATGGTTACTGAATGATACACACGAGGAAAACCATCTGGAAATTCACTTATCATGGGAAAACGGTCCTTGTTATCTCATGATAACGAGAAAACCATGGAATGTAATTGTAAGCGGAAAACGGTCGCTCTCAGCTTCCGTACCTTTTCGTTCAAGCTTTTATAATTATATCACTTACCTGTAAAGATTGTAAAGATCATTTTCCCATCTGAATGAAAATAACTGACTGTATTTACTGTTAGAAAAAGCTGTTTATTTATGACAAAAGTAGCTTTTCTTTTACTGTACAACTTTATTTATTGTGATGGTTTGGGGGTGATGAAGGGAACCTTTGCTGCATGTAACAAAGTCTGAGCCAACAGGAGGAAGAGTTCAGAAAAAACACAGCTTCTGGAAGAAAAAAAATCATTAAGATTTCTGTAGAGGAGTTGCTCTCAGATGGGTTTTAGTCTGAAAACTAACCAGGAGGAAGAGGGTTTTCTTTGTCCAGATGTACAAATGTTAAATAAGTCCATTAATCGTATTAGCAGCAGTTGGGGTAAGACTCAGGAGTCCAGTCGACATATAGGACTGTCGTAGACCATCTGTAGGTTCACCTTGTGTCCCACCAGCTCTCTGATGTTGTTGATGCCGTATTTAATCATGGTGGGCCTGTGAGTCAGAGGGGAGGGAGGAGTTAACARAATGAAATGCTACATTGTTTGTGCATTTCTTATTGTAAATCTGATTCAGTATTCCTCTTTCAGCCGGGACACCAACAGTGCTTTAAAGGCTTCAATGAACTCATCTATTCATGCAGCTGTGGTTTAACTGGGATAGTTGTGCTCCATGAACTGGAGGAGAAGAAAAGGACTCATGTAGTCCCTCACCTCTGCAGAGCAGCAGCACACACACAGCTGCTTTGGGCTTCACATAGAAACTCACTTTTAGAAAAGTTTTACTTGTCAAAATAAAATGTGAGGAGCCTAAAAAAAGAACAACCCAAATTTTGTAATTCGTTAAAAAAAGAAGTTATTTTTATTGCAATTGTCAGATGGTCCATCGGTTGAAGGGTTTTGAACTCTTGACCTCCTTCAAACCAGAACATCTTCTACAAATCCCATTTTAAAAGAGAACTTCACAGACAGAGCTGTGTTTTGTTATCCAAGTGTTTAGCATGAATTATTAAATTAAAAAGGAAAATGAATCCTACACCMTGACAACTGAATGTTCAAAGTCACCTCTGTGACTCCCAGTGGCCCTCAGGTCTAAGATCAGAGAGAAAACAACAGATCTGGATGAAGGAGAAGRGATTACCATTAAAGGCTTTGCCGCCTCACTCAATCTGGGATTAGCAGCTACWGTTGTGTTTTGTTAAAACCCTGTCTCTAACAGAAAGACCAACATATCCTGACGTTTGAAGTCTGTCAGGAGAAAAATAAAACCAGGTCTATATATTTTACTGAAAACAAACTTAATGTGTTGTGATAATTTGTGGTGAGAATTACATCTGATCTGATAAAACCCAGTCTGCAAAATACTGTTAAAAATTACATACAAACAAGAGTAATCCTCTTTAGGGAAAAAAAGAAAAGAAAATATGTAAAAAGTGGGTTGTGTGTGAGCCACCTTTAATATCTACATAGAAACTCCTGTGTAGACGGCTGGCTGGATGTGCAGCATGTAGAGCAGGGGTCTGCAACCTTTACGATCAAAAGAGCCGTTTGTCTCACTAATAAAATGTGTCCAGAGCAGCAGTACAAACTACAACTGCTATTATCAACTGGTGGTCCGTGGGCCTTTTCCAGGCCTTTTCAGAAACCTTTACGGTCAATGAAGTTGACATTATAAAACAAAAAAAATGTTATTATTAATATATTATTTTTTATTATAATACACAACAGGACAAATAAAGACCATATTCTTGTAAAAAAACGTATAGTTTATACTAAATTTTATAAAAACTAGTACAACTGAATTATTCAGGCATATTTTTTTCTAATTCTTGTTATTATGTAGTCTTCAAATCTTTAAAGGTAATTCTGATGGATTTGAGAGAAAGATCCTAGAAAGAAAATGGAATATTTAAGTAAACAGGTTAGCCTGAGCTAACATGTTTTACTTTTTGTATTAGCAGTACTGATCACATATTTGTGTATAAATTGATTTCTGTTGTGGGTATAAAAAACAAAACTAAAAAAATATTCTGTTATGGTAAATGGTACTGAACTTAGAGCGCTTTTCAAGTCCCTGTGGACCCCAAAGCGCTTTACACTAACAGACATTCACCCATTCACACACTGATGATGGCACATTATGTGCTGTGTTTGGTGACATTTTTTAAGAGCCACAGCAGAGGGACCAAATGGCCACATGTGGCCCCAGAGCCTTGCAGACCCCTGAAGTACAGTTTCTCTGTGAATAACAAATGTCGTAAAAAGTGTGTTCACCTCTCCAGAGAAAGACCCCAGGCGATTACAGACACGTCCTCAGGGAGGCCCATGGGCAGCAGCATCTCTGGCCTGAAGACACCAGAGTTTCCCACTTCCACCCATTTTTTTAGTCCTGTGGGTGGAAATATATATATTATAAAATAAACAAAGCAGAGATGGATAAATGATTAACAGAAATAACATAAGAAAACAAAGAGCTTTCTAACAACAGTGTGACACACTTTCATGTTATTGGGCTGCTGGTCACATATCTGTTACTTTGTCTACGTTCACACTGCAGGTC